CGAAAGCATTGATCTTTTCTCTTGTAGATAAGGATAAGCTTCAAAAGCCATATTTAGGCATCTTTAGATGCTATATATATATATATATATATATATATATATATATATATATATTTGGAATGCAACATAGAAAGTAAGTTAACCATGTTTCTACGGGTGTCATGGGTGTCTAACACCTTCCCCATGCACAATCAAATCCCCGGATTTTTAATCTAGTTTTTCGTAGACTAAAAAAATGGATATCAAATAAAAATATTTAACTATTTTCTTAAGACCGTAGACACCCTAAGGTGACCTAACACACCAATAAAATCCAATGTTAAGTGGCGACTCTAAATAAATAATAATTTGACCATAGTCACTCTGTCGTATTAAACTTCTTTTCTGACCCATTAGGTGTTTAGTATGACCCTGAGAGAGGCCAGAAAAAATCCGGGCACGACAATTGTATTAAAAAGAAGCTGTATGAGCTACAATTCATTTTATAAATAAAATATTTTTCACAGTATATATACTATATATACAGGCTCACAAAAAAATTTGGGGGCCCCCCAAAATTGGGGGACTATGTGGTGGCACCACCTAAGGGCCGGCCCTGGACGCGTGGCAATAGCCATAAGCCAAAACGGTTACCTTTCCCATTATATAGCTAATAAAAAAATAAAAGAGAATATTGTGTTTAAGTAAGGGTATAATAGTAAAAGTATGTTAATCATTAAAAAATAGGGAAAATTACATATAAATGGAATCAAAGTTCCATATTTACTTAAAGACTGAGTCAAAGTTCCATATTTCTCTAAAATGGATTGCTGAGGTGGCACGTGGTTTTTTACTGTTTAGAAAATTGTGGTGCCTAAAATGCCCTTCCCTAACAAAAAAGTAGTACCTTCAGTGTAAAAAAGTAGTACCTTCAGTTCAAAAAAGTAGTACCTTCGGAGAAAAAGTAATACCTTCGCGGGTGTTTAAAAAACATGGTACCTGGACGCCAAAAAGTAGTACCTTCAGTTCAAAAAAGTAGTACCTTCGAAGAAAAAGTAGTACCTTCGTGGAAGGGTATTTTAGGCACCACAATTTCTAAACAGTAAAAAACCATGTGCCACCTCAGCAATCCATTTTAGAGAAATATGGAACTTTGACTCAGCCTCTAAGTAAATATGGAACTTTGACTCCATTTATATGTAATTTTCCCTAAAAAATAAAGGGCAAATTACACAAAGGACCTTTCGGGTTTTCAATTTGTACATATAAATAGAAGATGGCCACAATATAACATAAAGGCCCAAATTAACTGTTTGTGATTAGTGGATTGATATGAATTTATATTTTTGTCCTTAGAGAAACACTATTTGTTTAATGAAAAAATTTAAAAATTTTTGTGTATTGTTAAAGTTACAATTTTACCCCTAAAAGTCCATCACAATAGACACAGACCAAATTGCAAAAATCACAAAACTATCTGTAACAAACCAATCACAGACCCAAATCCAACCACAAAGCCACAAATCATTCCGACCTCATCACAGCCGAGTGGCCCAAGTCCTCTGTTCCAAGCTCGCCGGTCCGTCACCACCATTACCACACAGCTCTCCATCGTCTGAGCTCAGCCTCGCTCACTGCATCTAAGCTCGCCGCCGCTTCCATCACAGCCGACATTCGCCACAACCAAGCTCATCCCATCCGAGCTCGCCGCCGCCTCCATCACAACCGACATCCTCCATGGCCGAGCCCATCAAAGCCGAGCTCGCCGCCATCATCCTCGAGGTCACAACCAAAGCAACAACCAGCCCATTGCCGTCACAGCCAACCAATATCCACCTCGGTGTGCACAAACTGTCATGCACTGTCGCAGTTCATCTACAGTCGCAGCTGCTGTGAGTCATCCACAACGATTCAGTTCTACCCTCGTTCAGACCCACCGCTGCATTTCACTGCCGAGAGTCCTTTTGCATTTTAAACCCATTTCATACCCCTCTGCAACTTCACACATCAAAAAGGCAAAAAAAAAAAAACCATTTTGTATGTGTGTGTATATATATATATATATCCGGTGGTGGTAATCGGCAAGGAAATAGTGGCAACGGCGGTAATGAGGAACGGCGGTGTTGTTGATGATGAGGTAGAGGTTTGTCGGTTGTGTTGTACGGCAGTAAAACAACTTTGGGCTTTCGCCGGCGGTGCTGATGATGGAGTTTCTGGCCCTCACCCTCCGGTAAAGTGAAGGACCAGAGATTTGGTCAAGGACCGGAGATGGCAGAAGACTACTATTGCTGAAGCGTGTTACGCGTGGAGGTGCCAACATCGGAGGTCTGTAAGATCTTCCAATTGCAGCATTGTCCTGTTCTAAATACATAAAAAAAACCTATAATGAATTCCAAAATTGCTAAAGAGAGAACCAATTCAACAATTCCATCTTTTTCACATGCTTCAAGGCCCTGGCCCTCATCTCCTCCACCACCCCAAGCACTTAAGAACTCCTAAGGGTTAAGGTCCTGGTCATTGTGGAGGGTTGTACCCAGGGGCAAAAATAAAACTTCCTAATATATATTATCTTTTAATTTTTTCATTAAAAATAAATACTTTAATTTTAAGGTCAAAAGTGTAAATTTATATTAATTTTTTGTGGTCAAATGGTTAATATGGACCTTTTTGTAATATTGTTATAACTTCTATTTACATGCATAATATAGAAACCTCGTGGGTGGTTTGTGTAATATGCCTAAAAATAAATGTCTGATAGGGGCGTTAGAGCAATTTTTCTCCAGGTTTAGTCTGATTGTAATAAAAGCAAACCTAGAGGGGTGTCTCTCTAATTGCCTATTAAAATTCATTTGAGTTTTTGATTTGGAGGGTTTCAACTTTTAAAAATTCACCTAGTTGAACTTTGAAAACGGTAAGTGTAAGTGCAAAATTTTAGAAAGAGGTGGGTTTGTATCAGTTAAGTTATTATTAGTACTTTTTGCATTCTCAAATAATATTCGATTCAATACTTCATTTTTCTCTTGGACGCGGGTGTAAATGAATCTTTTCAATTTTTTGCACTTACATTGGACTATGATAAATTTTGATTGGCTTACATGATAATTTTTTTGGAACAAGGAAAAATCTTTTCATTGGATTCGATTATCCTCATGTTCACCCTACTCTCTATAACGCAAAACCAATTTTTTTTTATTTTTTTTTAATTTTTTATAAGTTGTAACGCAAAACCATCAAAACACATTCTCTCTCTCTCTCTCTGATTCAATCTCTCTTTCCCTCTTGGATTCAGTCATTCTCTCCCTATGTCTGACTATGTTTCCTCTCTATTTGCTAGGGAGGAGGGAAAGCAACCAAGAACAAAAGGCCCAAATTTGAAAGCCCTGAGTTAATGAGGAAGACCCCTATTGGATGTTATTAGGGTTTCACACATAATTGAGAAACATAACAGATAAAAAAAACACAAACACATAGGCGGAGCCAATTAAGGCCCAGAGGGGACACGTGCCCCCCCTCACTTTGTTACAACTTAATATACATAGGTACATATTTTTGGTATATGCATATACTTACATGGTAATTTTAAATAGTGTCCCCCCTCAAATTTTCAAATTCTTCTAATTTCCTTTTGAAAAAAAAAAGTTACATATATCGCTCCTTCAAGAATACAATATATTTTTCCTTTTCTAATTTTTGTTTCCTTTTTCAAAAAATTTATTTTTTCACTTATGTATAATTATGTATTTTTGTATTATTTTAAACTTATTCCTTTTTATCGATGACATTTGTGATTGTATTTAATTAAAATATTATTAATTAATATTTTGATTCTTATATTTGTAACTATATTTTTTTTACAGTATTTATTTAGCATATTATTTTACAACTATTTTTTTTCTTATTTGTCTTTTTTATTTTAAAAAATTATACTTCCTATTTGTCATGTTTATTAATTTTTTTTTTTATAACAAGTGCATTGTGCCCCATCTGAAATAAAATTCTGGCTCCGCCCCTGCACACACAAGCAAAACGAGATTTACATGGTTTGACAAATTGCCTAGTCCATGGGCGAAGAACAATTAACTTTACTTCAAAAAAACTTAATTACACTCTCTTTTCTTCCTCACATAATCTCAATTAATTTTTTCTCTCTAAACTCACCTCTATTTATAAAGTCTTCAAAACTCAATTCCTTATTGGACAAGTATTCCCCAACTTGTCTATAAGGAGTTACCTTATTCGTTAAATTATTCCCAAATCTTCAATCTTTTCCCCAAGTCTTCTGGCTTCCAAAATCAATTTGGAAACTGTTTCCCGGAACTTCCAATAACCCATCGTCCAAGTTGAACTCGTTCAGTCATTTGAATCGGTTCAACTTTGGCAGTAGATAAAGGTAAGCCATCGGTTCAACTTTGGCAGTAGATAAAGGTAAGCCAAAATCAGTAAGTTCAACCTTTCAAATAATTCACTTGCTTTAACATAGTTCCATCTCAAATAAGAATCTCTTCATAACTTCACCTTAACTAAATATTTCTCCATTTCAAATAAAGCTCCATTATAAAATTGAGAAACATTCTAACAAGATAAGGCAACCCTTGGTAACTTATCATTTTGTTCTTCCCTAAAATTTTCTCCACCTCAAATAAAGCACCATAATAAAATTAAGAAATATTCTAATAGATGAGACTATCCTTAGAAACTTATCATTTCTTTTTTCTTAGCTCATTTTATTCTCCAAAATAAGTATGGTATATTATGTAAAAATGTTATTTATCACTGTAAAAATGTTATTTATCACTTCATTAATTTTTATATAATTTTATAAAGAAGGTATATCAGTAAAAGAATATAAAATTTTAATTTTATTAAATTAGTCGACCAAATTTCAAATGGTCCAAATAATTAATTAATTTCTAGTATCCTCACTCATCCTTCGTTCAGTCTTTTCCGCCCATTTTTCTACAAACGGCTAAATCAAATATTCCTCTCATAAGGGTATTTTTGTCCTTTTACAGTAGGTTTAATTAGTAAAGGTAAAAGTATCATTTTGTTGCAATATTTGTAGAGGCCCCCGTCTTCCACTGTTATACGCGCCATTCCGTCCCTTTTGCCCTCCTCTCATCATCTCTGCGGATTCCCCGTTTTCTACATCACTGCAAGGTTGCCCCACATTCTTAGAGGTATCTCTCTCTCTCTCTCTCTCTCTCTATGTATATATACACACACTGTCATAGTATCTATTTTGTTGTTGGTAGCTAGGGTTTTGTTTGAGATCTCTCATGGTATCTGTTATTTCTCTAACTAGGGATTTGTGTGGTAGCTTTTTATTCTCTAACTAGGGATTTCTGTGCTATTTATGTATACTTCCCCTAGTGTTACTGAATCAGTGCTCTTAGGGTTTTATATTCACTGTAACTGACTTCCAAATCCATTTCATAGATTCTTAGAACAGTGGCCATGAAAGAGAAAGGAAAATCAACCCATAAAGAAGGAGACAAGCATGAGTCTTCAATCACAGATCTTCCGAGCCCTATAATCTTTGATATTCTACTAAAGCTCCCTGTAAAGGGTATTCTAGTTTGCAAGTGTGTCTGCAAAAATTGGTTCACTATAGTTTCTGACCCTCAATTCGCCAAGCAGCAGTTTGCACAGGCAGAGCCCTGTGCTCTTCTTCGGACCTTGGATTCAACACATGTTCCAGACTCAAGAATACTTTACTTGGTTGAGCCGAAAGACTGTCATAATTTCGATCTTGGATACTGCATATGTGAAGACGAGGCTGATTTCAGATGCGACCGTCATATGGAACTTGACAACAAATTGAAGATCCCATTGCGCAATGCCGAAATGGTGCTCAGTAGTGAAGGGGGTGATGCACAAATGGGTTGCCGCCCTAATGGCCCAAATTTCAAAATTGTGAATTCGTGCCATGGTATGCTCTGTTTGTCTGAACCGGAGTCTAATGAACCTGTGGCTGTGTGTAATCCAGTCACGGGTGAGTATATAAGCCTTCCTATGACTAAAAGGGCTGAGGAGAAAACCCAATATTTTGTTGAGTGTGGGTTTGGTTTTAGCCCTCAGACTGATCAATACAAGGTGGTTAGAATGTTTGAACGGTGGAGTGGTGATCCGGTTATGGGTATGGCATATTTGAACACAGCTGCTTCGGGCCCGATAAATTATAGTAACGGGATTGAGATATACACTCTCGGCACTGCAGGATCATGGAAAAGCATTGGGGATGCTCCCTTTTTATATTCTAGCCTAGCGTTTTCCACTTATCTGAAGGGATGTATCCATTGGCTGATCAGTCTTGAATTTAGTTCTACCGATTATATGTTTTCTTTTGGCAAATCTAGTTCTACTGATTATATAGTTTCTTTTAACTTTGACACTGAGCAGTTGCAATTGTTTCCATCGCCTCCTCATGAATATGATAATTCTGATGAAGATGATGACATCGGCATGGTTGGATTGAGTACAAAGCATAATGTGTCCATGGGAGTGTTGGAAGACTGTCTGTGCATATGTGATGCGAATTATGATCCCATTTACATATGGGTCATGAAGGAATATGGTGTTCGGGAATCTTGGACAACGTTGTTCTCTATTGATAATCAACTTGATCAGGGGTGGCCTTATGGTTTATATCAGCCAATAAATTACCTGAAAAATGGGGCAGTATTGATGTTTCATTATCTTAAATGTGCTGTGGTTTGTTATGATCCCGAAAGACCAACATTAAAATATCTTACGATTCATGGTGCTGAATCAAATTTTGAAGCAATTGTTTATGTTCCCAGTCTCATTTCACTTAAGGACGCCATCATTGGAGATAATGTTGTCGTGCTGAACGTCAGTTCAAGGTAAGGATTTGCTTGTTCGCAATTTACATTCACTCTAACCGTTCAATATATTTATGGTTCTCAATGATGATATCTGATGTTCACTTCATAAACCTCATCACTAATGTACTCTTGGAAATTATGGGAAACATATATAAATCTTTTTTCTTGCTAATTTTTTTCCCCTTTTGTTTGGAACTTGCATTCAAGAGCATTTCTTTTTAAGCAGTCATTTTGTGTGTGGACTTGATTTTCTTGTCTTTTTAAGTTGATCATCTCTATTGATAATGACATATGGGTAATGAAAAATGAGCTGTTGGCTTTTTTCTTTTTCCTTTTCTTGTTCAGGTGTGGGGTTGTGTAGGAATGAGTTGAGGGCCTGCACAGGGTACTAACACGGTTCTGAGAATGAATTTATAGTTAAAAGTGGCTTAACGGTTTTGGTGTTTTGTCTAGATTTTGTTAATACTGAAACTTAAATAACATCACTAGTTTTCTACTATACTGAAATTCAATGTAACTTGTTTGTAATCAAGAATGTTGTTACAATTGGTAAGAAACCTTATAGTCCACAGCTCAAAATCATTAGTCTATGGTCACAGCGTTCACAAGTTTTGCAACTGAAAATGACTCATAAACTATTATGTTCGACTAGTCATTGTGTCCTTATACTTCCTAGACATGATACATATACATTTGCCCCCAAAGAAAAATAATTGACCGAGTCTCTGATTTTACACCCTTTTGAGAGGTAGTTCAACCTTCTTAAAGCATATATGATTACTGAAAGATTAAATTAGAAATGCATGATGACTGATTGTGTCATGTATTACTTTTCAAGTGTATAGCATATAGAATGTTAGTGTTTGGATGTGGAGATTAGCTTCAAATTTGGTTATTGCTAATGCATATGTGCACGCACAAAATACCTGGCATTGGTTTGGGTTAACTATTCTTTACTTCGTGAACACTTTCACTTGACTTGTAGACAAACTTTATTGTTATGAAGCAGTTGGGAGCCTGTTTGTTTGTTTGTTTTTTTAAATGTTGTATTTGATTCATTCTTGTTTGGATTTTTTGTACGTTTTAATTTAATTTGATTCCATTATATAATGTTTTCTGTATAGCTTTTTTAACTTATTATTTCAAGGTTGGCTACCTAGGTGTTCATACGATCTTGGCATTGGTATTGTTTGGTCAATAAGATTTAGGTTGACACTTGAATCTATATTTTTATTTTGTTTTCAGTTAGATTTTTGAATGTTCATTAACGTCAACTTAATTACCTCTTGTACCTGGAAACAATCGAAATTCATGGGTATAAAGGTAAATTTGATAATCATATATGCTGTCACCCAATTAGGTTCATGCATTCATCAATTAGGGTTTCATGTAATTCATGTTTGATTCTGACAAATCCATTTTTGTTCAGATATTTGTGTTTCTGGAAACTACGAAGTTTGAAGAACCTAAGTATTCAAGTGCAGGGAACTTCGATTGATCAAATGATTAATGGAAGTTCATTGGATCAAAACTCACTAGACTGGTTTAGATTGACAGACTCTCTGCTTTGTAGAAAACCGGTTTTCTTTTCTGTTTAAAACTCTCAAAACCCTAATTTTTCTAGGTGCCTATGCTATCTATTAATATATCTAGTTTTCATCATTAGGCAAGAAAGAGTGCATGCATTTTATAGCTATTTTATACAGTGTTTCTGAGAGTATTCTAGCAATCTCTTGTTAGAGTATTTTTTTTTCATTCGGCATTCATAATAGAGTGGTGAGGGAATATATTGTATGTTTGACCTCATTGTTGTTGTCGCTACAACGAGTTCATGACAAGCAAAGATACTTTACAAGGATCAGATTGTACGACTGGACCAGTGATCAAATTTTGAGAGAAGCAGATGGTGCGAAGAGCAGATTGATTGACAGAGTGGAATAAAGGCCCGAACACTCGAGTGGAGGGTTTGACTACAGTTTGTGTCAGGAATTAACTAGAGGTTTCAGGGTCTTGGAACTTTTAACCTAGTTGTGAATTTCCTTTCTTGTATAGTTGGTTTGATCTGATATGGACTAGGTCCCATGGATTTTCCCTCTGGGGTTTCCATTTAAAATATCTGTGTCTATTGTGCTATTTACTTTGTTACTTTGCAAGATTGATTCGTTTTATGTTTGGATGCATGATGGATTGAGTAGTTTAATTGCTATTGTGGTAATTTAGTTTTCGAATAACTATCAAATTTAGTCAAAATTCAGAAATTAGTTGAAGTTAGTGAACTTAGCTTTCAAGTTCTGTTCACCCCCTCTAGGTCTAGATTATGGCCCTTGCTACTCTACATGAAAGCCTAGTGTTATGTTACTATTCTCATGTATGCTTATTCATATAAATGGGTACTGGTCATCTGGATATATAACTTTATGGCTCTTTACCCCATGTATAGTTTTGTTAAATATCTTAGATTTGCGGTACCTCGTTTACCAATTTGTTTTATTTTTTCTTTTCATTTTGATGATACTAATTTCTTTCTGTTCATGCCTTCATAATGCACGATAACACATCCTATTGACGTGTACGGAGAAAACAATACGTAAAGTATGTCAACTTATTAAAAATAGTTTTGGAAGAAAAAATACGGTGACAAAGTGTGTTCCTAATTCTTTTTTCTTTGGGATATTAAATATCTTATTAATTTTAGCAAGAACAATAACTCTTTTGATTGTGCCTTTAATCCTGTGATGTGATGTGTATTCTTTATTAACGTCTTCTCTCTTCTTTCTCCTTCTCTTCTTCAACTTCTACATCAATAGGTGTTAAGAGCTCTTCTGCGTCATGCATCAACTAGTCCAAAAAATGAAAAGTAAAAATAAAATATAAAAAAATTATTTTTAAATTGTGTCATTGATAGTAACCCGTTGGGTTGTTCATATCAAAGTGGAGATGAAATTGTATTATCTTATAAAACTAGCAACTTCTTTTATCAATGTTTCAATTCATAAAATAAAAAAAATAAAAAAATAAAAATACTGCAGTCATGTAAATAAAAAAAACCTATATTTGGTTCTTGAATATAATAGAAAAGGACTAAATTAAGTTGCAAACTCTAAAGAGAAGTTTTCTGATAAGTAAGAGGAAGTTCACTGAGAAGCACCTAAAGGGCTGCATCCCATGTATACACGCACAAGAAGAATATGTATTTCTATCAAAATGCAACAAGAGAAGGAAAAACAGGCCTCATTGGTTCCTCTAATTTAGAATAGTATAATCTTACACATTTTGTAAGAAATTGTTTAATTTCTTCTAAGTTTGCAATATATTTATAGTTCAAATTGAGAATTGTGCATATTGTATTTCTTACATGTATTATATATTACATAACGTGGTCAAAATGCTATAGTATTTTTTGGAAATACTTTGGAAGTTCAATAATGGGTTCATTAAGGTGGGCCAACTGGGAGCTAGAGACAATTCTAGCAACACTTTTAAGAAATTTGATACTTGACTACTTGAGTTCTCTAAGCTGAGGAGATTCTAGCTCTTGTGGAAAGTCTTGATGGTGCTTTTGGATGTAGGGCCTTGGCAATGTTTTATATAGGGAATTCTGATATTGTTTTTAGATGGGTGGCATGGTAATCCATAGGCTAATGGCATATAACCATTTGATAATAGAGGTTGTTGACCTATTCACAGTTTTTGAGATGGTGATTAGATGGATTTAGAAGTTGATGGATTACCGGGCCTGACCCGAGAGCTTGAAGACCACATGGCCCACACCTACTATTGGAGACGTGGGAAAGAAAGATAGAATTAGGGATTTTTGTTTATTTATTATTATTATGGGATATTTTAGCAATTTAGGGTTTTATTTATGGTAATAGGTTGATTAGGGTTTTTCTTCGATGCCTATTTATATGTTGGTTTAGACATTGTGAAGGGCAGCTTTTGATGATTATTATTGATATTGAATTTTGAGATTATCGTGATTTCTTCTCCCTCTGAATTCTTCTTCTCTTCTAATTCCTCTTCCCTCTATTCTTCTTCCCTTTTTCTCTCAATCTCTTTCTGATTCTACTTGAATTCTAATTTCGAATTGGCCCTACCCGCTCCTGCATCAGAAGTCTTGTAACAATTAAATGGATGCTTCAAGGTTTCAATGGCCTCGTGTAAGGCCACTGTGACCCTCAAGCTCCGAACAGGTACGGGAGGCTCAAAGTAGTCTATTTTTGTTGGTATATCTTCTATTAACAACACCGCCCCGCCCCCCCCCCCCCCCCCCCCCCCCCCCCCCCCCCCACTTTTAAAGAAAGAGATGTAATAACTCTTCAGGCAGATTTATTTATTATTTTTTTTATTTATTCTTGTTGTTTGCAACTGTCATAGTTGAAAATTTTCACAAGGATTTCTGACATGTGGAAAATGTAGAGAATCATATCTGAAATTATTGATTCACTTTCTAAGATGATGTTTTAAAATCTGATGATCCAAAAATTCTTCTCATGTTCTTCGTTGTGTAGATACCTAAATGTTGTCTGACGTCCCTTTATCTTTAGATTGTTGCTGTGATTGTGTGGATTGCGTGAATAAATGTGCTATGGGGTAGTCTTTTGTGAAAGTTTCGACGTCATAATTATTTAGAAGATTATGCCTCTTAATATTATGATTCTTGATGTAGGTATGCTGGAATCGAAGTGCAGGGAGAGACTAAAGCTCTTTCATTGGCAGAAGTCAGGGAACCGGAACTTGATTCAGATTGATGGTATTCTGATAACGAATGGAAGAAACATTGGTGGCAACCTCCTAAAGTTTGATATTTTGAATCGGAGCTGTATCTGGAGTTGCGGCGTTGAAGTATAAGTTTGCTGCAACCTCCTAAAGTTTGATATTTTGCTTACTATATATATCTGGTGTTGTGGTTATGGGAAGTGTATTAAGTGCTTGACTGAGTAGGTCACAACAATATCACTTTTTGTGGATCTGTAACTTCAAATTTCTTGTGTGAATGGAATGTATATTAAGAACTAAGCCAAGATGTTAAAACTAGTGATATCTTTATCATGCTTGATCTTAAGCTTTACTGAGAAGTTCTCATAAAACTGTAAATGATCCTAGCTGGTAGCTGTGGAGAACTTTTAAAGAAAAATGCTCCAAGGCTTTCATCATCTTGCATTCTCCTCATGTTCACCTACGTCCAGACTGTCCGGTGCCCACTGCCCACTTCTCTCTATGGCGAACCATCAAAACACATAGGGCCTGTTTGATATGCGTATTGTTTGATAAAAACTGTTTTGTTTTATACAGTGCTGAAACATTTCGTGCATGGTGGGAAAAAATCGAAACATCAATTTGGTGATTTTGTATGTTTTCACATTGTAGCGTTTGGTACTGTAGTAATGAACAGTAAAAAAATTACACTAATTATGTTTTTATGTTTTTACTTTAAAAAATTTTGAAACATATGGACGTTACTAACACATGCTTTCGATTATTATTCAAAATATTTTATAACAAAACACTAGTTTTGTTTTGAATTAAAACAAAACTATATATCTCTAGAATTCACTCATTGTATATCTCTCTCGTTGTCTCTGTTTCCTCTTTATTGGTCGCCGACTGACCAAGGAAAGCAACCAAGAACAAAGATCCCAATTTTAAAGCCCTAAATTAATGAAAAAGACCCTAGTTAGATGAGATCCCAAGTTAAAAGCCCTAAATTAATGAAAAAGACCCTAGTTAGATGAGGTAACCATCGTAACTTAACATCATTTTATTCTCCAAAATTGAACCGAAGAAAGGAGGGATGTGGAAAATAAGTATGGTATATTATGTAAAATGATGCTACTACACTTGATCAAATTTTGTAAAATTATATAATAAAGGTATAATGATAAAATATATATATATATATATATAGCACTACTTATTTTCATTCCTCTTATCAAACAATCAAATGTGTCATCTCATTTTACTTCTCTCCATTCAATTTATACAATTATTAAAAGTACAGAAAGTTTCAATTATTTTTATTTTTTATAATGCATTTTAATTTTTTTTTTAATATTATTTATTTTAATAAATATATAGAAGCATAAGCTTTCTTTGAACAAGTGTTTTTTTTTTTTAATCAAAATTCCTCTCATGCTACTCTTAAAAACTAATAATAAAAATGCTCCCATTAATCTTCATCTTTTAATCATTAAAAAAAAAAAAAAAAAAAGTTCTCATACTAGAATTTTGCGGAATTTGGTTAATTATGTTCTAGGCACTATTGAAGGAGAGTAATTTCTCACCAACTTTTTGCAAGTGTTCTCGAAATTGGATGCAACATGTCTTAAATGGATTGAATATTTTTGTTAGAAAGAGACATTCCTGATTTTAATGGTCTTGTGAAACCAGAAAGTAACACACTTCTCTCAATAACCAATAGGCCAGTGGCCTAGCGGTACTAGACTCTTATTTTTCAAAGGAAGGTTCAGAGTTCGAGTCTTAGAAGAGACATGTGTATGTGAGTACCAACTCACACTTCTCTCAATGGTTATTTGTGGAATAATCAATATAAAATTATATAGTTTGATAATTTATTTATTTATTATTGTTTAATTATATTTAAATTTATTATTATAAAAATATTTAATTAAATAATAATTTGCAAATGGTGAATACAATGTTCCTCTTATGAGGATATTTTTGTCCTTTTAGAGTAGGTTTAATTTGTAGTAAATCATTTTGTTACTCCAATATTTGTAGAGTGGTCCTCACTGTCTTCGACTGTGATTTTGGAGTGACTCGCTCGACTCAACACCTGCGCTCCTTTTGCCCTCCTCTCACAATCTCTGCGGATTCCACTGCAAGGGTGACCACATTTGTAGAGGTATCTCTCTCCCTCTCTCTCTCTCTCTCTATATATATATATATATCTCATAGTATTTATGGTGTTGTTGGTAACTAGGGTTTTGTTTGAGATAATTTCTCTCTCATAGTATCTATTTTGTTGTTGGTACTATGCCATGGTTCATGCTATCTGTTATTTCTCTAACTAGGGATTTGTGTCATATACTCTAGCTATTTGTGTATAATTTCCCATATTTTACTGAGTCGGTGCTCTGAGGGTCTCTGTCACTGACTTGCAAATCCATTTCATAGATTCATACAACAGTGGCCATGAAAAGAAAAAGAAATACAACCCAGAAAGAAGGGTATTCTAGTTCAATAACAGATCTTCCGAGGCCTATAATGGTCGATATTCTACTAAAGCTCCATGCAAATTGTATTCTAGTTTGCAAGTGGGTCTGCAAAACTTGGTTCAGTATAGTTTCTGACCCTCAATTCACCAAGATGCAGTTTGCGAAGGCCGAGCCCTGTGCTCTTCTTCGGACCGTGGACTCAACACATGTTCCCGACTCAAGAACGCTTTACTTGGTTGAGCCTGAAGACTGCCATAATTTCAATCTTGGATACTGCATGTGTGACGACAATCCCTGTTTCAAATGTGACCGTCATATGAAGCTTGACACCAAATTGAAGATCCCATTGCGCAATGCCGAAATGGTGCTCAGTAGTAGTGAAGGGGGTGATGCACAAATGGCTTGCCTCCCTAATGGCCCAAATTTCAAAATTGTGAATTCTTGCCATGGTATGCTCTGTTTTTCTGAACCGGTGTCTAAAGAACCTGTGGCTGTGTGTAATCCAGTCACGGGTGAGTATATAAGCCTTCCTATGACTAAAAGGGCTGAGGAAAAAAACCAATATTTTGTAGAGTGTGGGTTTGGCTTTAGTCCTCGGACTGATCAATACAAGGTGGTTAGAATGTTTGAACGGTGGAGTGGTGATCCCGTTATGGGTATGGCATATTTGAACACTCCTCCGGGCCGATAAATTATGGTAAAGGGTTTGAGATATACACTCTCGGCACTGCAGGATCATGGAAAAGCATTGGGCATACTCCCTTTTTATATTCTGACCTAGCATCTTCCACTTATCTGGAGGGATGTGTCCATTGGTTGATCACTGTTGATTTTAGTTCTATTGATTACATGTTTTCATTTAACGAATCTAGTTCTACTGATTATATAGTTTCTTTTAGCTTTGACAATGAGCAGTTGCAATTGTTTCCATCGCCGCCTCATGAACATGATGGATCTGATGAAGACGATGACATCAGTATGGTCAATTCGTGTGTGAAGTATAATGTGTCCATGGGAGTGTTAGAAGGTTGTTTGTGCATATGTGATGCTTCTAGTCATGATTTCATTGACATGTGGGTTATGAAGATATATGGTGTTCAGGAATCTTGGACAAAGATGTTCACACTTGATAATCAACCTGATCAGAGGTGGCCTAATGGTTTATATCAGCCGATAAATTACCTGAAAAATGGGGCAGTGGTGATGTTTCGTCAATTTGTTAAATGTGCTCTAATTTGTTACGACCCTGAAAGGCCAAATATTAAATATCTTAAGATTTGTGGCGCTGAATCAAAATTTGAGGCAATTCCTTATGTTCCCAGTTTAATTTCACTTAAGGACGCCATTGTTGGAGAGAATGTTGTCGTGCTGAACATCAGTTCAAGGTAAGGATTTGATTGTTTGAAATTTACCTTCACTTTAACCATTCAATATATTTATAGTTTTTAATGTTGATATCTTATGTTCACTTTTTCATATATTTCATCACTGATGTACACTGGGAAATTATGTGAAACATATATAAATCTTTTATTGCTATTTTTTTTTCCCTTTTCTTCGGAACTTGTTTCAAGAGCGTTTCTTTTTAAGTGGTCATTTTGTGTGGACTTGTTTTTCTTGTCTTTTTAAGCTGATCATCTCTATTGGTAATGACATGTGGGTTATGAAACATAAGTTGTTGGCTTTTTTCATTTTTCCTTTTCTTGTTTGGGTGTGGGGTTGCATAGGAATTAGTTGAGGGCATGCATAGGGTATTAACAAGGTTTTGAGAGTGAATTATGGTAAAAAAAAAATGGCTTAATTGTTTTGCTATTTTGTCTAGATTTTGTTAATGATGAAATTTAACAAACATCACTAGTTCTCTACTATACTGAAATTCAATGTAACTTGCTTGTAATCAAGAATGTTGTTACAATCGGTAAGGAACCATATAGTCCACTGCTGAAAATCATTAGTCTATGATCACAGCGTTCACAAGGTTTGCAACTGAGAATGATTCGTTAACTATTATGTTCAAGTAGTCATTGTGTCCCTAATACCTTCTAGACATGATACATATACATTTTCCCCCAAAGAAATATTATTGACTTATCTCTGATTTCCACCTTTTTGAGAGGTAGTTCGACCTTCTTAAAGCAGATATGATAGCTGAAAGATTTAATTAGAAATGCATGATGGCTAATTGTGTCATGTATTACTTTTCTAGTGTATAGCATATACTTGTTATTGTTTGGATGTGGAGAGATTAGCTGCAACATTTGGTTGTTGCTAATGCATACGTGCACACACAGAATACCCGCCATTAGTTTGAGTTTACTATTCTTTACCTCCTGAAAGCTTTCACTTGCCTTGTTGGCAAACTTTATTATTATGAAACTAATATGAATATTACAAACAGTTGGGTGCCTATTTTGGTTTTGTTTTAAGAGTTATAATTGATTCATTCTTGTTTGGATTTTTTGTATGTTTTAATTTAATTTGATTCCATTATATAATGTTTTTGTTTATGTAAAATATGTACAATTCAAGAGAGAGAGAGAGAGCTGATGGATATGAGAGAGAGTACAAAAAAGAGAGGCGCAGCCCTCTTGTTCTCTTATTTACTATAACCCTAAACATAAAAGGGTATATATAAAATACAAGAAAGGCCTATTTGCATATTGGCCACAAACCCTATATATAATTACAATCTGACCCCTACACTAATATGTATTTACATATGCATGTTCTAACAGTTTAGCTTTTTAAACTTATTGTTTCAAGGTTGGCTACCTAGGTGTTCTTCAATCTAGGCATTATTGTTAGGTTAATAAGAATTTTTTGTTAGTTACCTTTTGCCCATGTAAACAATCGAAATTGAAGGGTATAAAGGTAAATTTGATACTCATGCAGTCACCCAATTAGGGTTCATGCATTCGTTAGGGTTTCATTTAATTCACGTTTGATTCTGAAAAATCCATTTTGATATTGATATTTGTATTTCTGGAAATTCCTAAGTTTGAAGAACCTAAGTATTCAAGTGCAAGGACCTTTGATTGATCAAATGATCAATCAAAGCTCATTGGATAAAAACTTACTAGACTGGTGTAGATTGACGGACGTTCTGCTTAATCACTCGAGTTTTGTAGAAAATCAGTTTTCTTTCCTGATTAAAACTCTCAAAAACCTAATTTTTCTAGGCATCTATGCGATCTATAAATACATCTAGTTTTCATCATTTAGCAAGAAAGAGTGCATGCATCGTATGATTCGTATAGCTATTCATTGTTGTTGTGGCCACAACGAGTTCAACACAAACAAAGATGGACTGCACCACTGATCAAATTTGGAGAGAAGCAGATGTTGTAAGGAGCAGATTGATTGACAGAGCAGACTGAAGTCCTGAACACTCGAGTGGAAGGTCTGACTATAGTTTGTGCCAGGAATTAACTAGAGGTTTCAGGGTTTTGGAACTTTTAACTAGTTTTGAATTTCCTTTCTTGTATAGTCGGTTTGATCTGATTTGGACTAGGACCTGTGGTTTTTCCCTTTGGGGTTCCCATGTGAAAAAATCTTTGTGTCTATTTTGCTATTTACTTTATTACTTAGCAAGATTGTTTCGTTTTATGGTTGAGTAGTTTAATTGTTATTGTGGTAATTTAGTTTTCGAATAATAATCAAATTAAGTCAAATTTCAGAAATTAGTTGAAGTTAGTGAACTTAGATTTCAAATTCTAAATACCCCTCACCCCCTCTAGGTCTTAGATCATGGGCCTTGCTACTCTTCACGAAAGCCTAGTGTCATGTTACCATTCTCAGGTATGCTTATGCATATTGATGTGTACTGGTTATCTGGATGTTTAACTTTATGGCTCCTTACCCCATGCATAGTTTTGTTATCTTAGATTTGTGGTACCTTGTTTTCCAATTTATTTTAATTTCTCTTTTCATTTTGATGATACTAAATTCTTCTTGTTCGTGCTTTCATAATGCACAATGACTCATCTAATTGATGTGAACGGAGAAAACAATACTTAAAGTTTGTCAACTCATTAAAAATAGTTTTGGAAGAAAAAATATGGTGACAGTGTTCCTTTTTCTTTTTTTCTTTGAGATATTAGCTTGTTATATTTGAAACTTATTTATTTTTATTATTATCCTTTTGTTTGTTGTCATTGATTTTTATTGAATTTACTTGCATTATTTGCCAAACCTTTGTTTTTTTTTTTCTTCTTTTCTTTTTCTTTTTTATGTAAGTTAAGTATTATAAACAGCCCTCAAAGGGGAGCGCAACCCAAGAACCACACAAGGGCCAAAAAAGGGCCCCTAGACACTCAAAGTATCCCCAAAGTCCGCTATCTCCCCTATAGATTTACACATTCTCCCCCAAATCCAAAAAAATAAAGTTTTAATATTTGCCAAACTTCAATAATTTACCAAAAGTTATTATTGTACAGAGAGCTGGTGACTAGTGTATAGAGTTCTAGTTGACAATGGGCCTCATAAAGTATTCAGAAGATATACTTAAATTTTTAAGGTAATTTAATCAAATAAAGTGTCTACTAAAAAATTGAAATGCATAAAAGTGAATTGATTTCATTTACAAAGAGAGAGAGAGAGAGCGAGAGAGAGAGAGTTATTTATATCAAGAACAACCTTATGACTGTGCCTTCAAATCTGTGATGTGATCTGTATTCTCTCTTATTTCTCCTTCTCTTCTTCATCTTCTACATCAATAGGTGTTCAGAGCTCTTCCATGTCATGCCTTGATCTGTATTCTGTCTTCTTTCTCGTTCTCTTCTTCATTTTCTACATCGATAGGTGTTAAGAGCTCTTCTGCGTCATGCATCAACTAGTCCAAAAAAAGAAAAGAAAAAAAAAAAGTTTTATCTTGACATCGTGTCATTGATAGCAACCTGTTGCATGGTTCATATCAAAGTGGAGATGAAACTGTATTTTCTTATAAAACTATCCACTTCATTTATCAACGTGTCAATTCATTAAAAATAAATGTAGTCATGTAAATAAAAACAACATATAGTTAGTTCTTTAATATAATAGAGAATGACTAAATTAAGTTGCAAACTCTAAAGAGGAGAAGTTTTTTGATAAGTGAGAGTAAGTGACTGAGAAGCACCCAAATGGGGTGCATCCCATGTATACACTACAGAAGAAGAATATATATTTCTATCAAAATGCAACAAAAGAAGGAAAAAAAAAAAAAAAAAAAAAAAAAAAAAAAAAAAAAAAAAACAGGCTTCAATTGGTTCCTCTAATTTAGAATGGTATAATCGTACAAAATTTGTAAGAAATGGTTAATTTCTTCTAAGGTTGCAATATATTTATAGTTCAACTTGAGAACTGTGCGTATTGTATTTCTTACATGTATTATATATCGCATAACGTGGTTAAAATGTTAATAGTGTTTTTTGGAGATACTTTAGAAGTTCAATAATGGGTTCATTAAGATGGGTCAACTGGGAGGTAGAGACAATTCTAGCAACACTTTTAAGAAATTAGATGCTTGAGTTCAATAAGGTGAGGCAATTTTAGCTCTTCTGGAAAGTCTTGAGGTTGTTTTTTGGATGTGGGGCCTTGGGAATGTTTGATATAAGAAATTTTGATACTGTTGTTAGATGGGTGGCTAATGGCATATGACCATTTGATACTAGAGGTAGTTGACCTATTCACAACTTTTGAGAAGGTGATTAGATGGATTTAGAAGTTTTGTAACAATTAAATGTATGCTTCGAGGTTTCAATGGTCTTGTGTAAGGCCACTGTGACCCTCAAGCTCTGAACAGGCACGGTGAGGGTCAAAGGAGTCTATTTTTTGTTGGTAGTGACTATTTTTGTTTATTTTTTGTTGGTAGTGATTGGAAAATTTTCTTTTATTATGGATATCTCTATCCTCCCTAATAGCATTTTTATATCTTCTATCTTTAGTACTCCGTATTTGATTTCTCGGTCCCCCTCTTTCTTAAAAAAAGAGAAGTAATAAAACTATTTAAGGCAAGTTTTTCTTTCTAGAAACCAGTGGTGTTATTTCAATTGTACTTTTGTAATAAAGAGTATAAAAAATTTAGTAGAAGTTTATTATTATTGTTTTCTTTTTCTAACTGTCATATTTGAAAATTACCACAAGTAATTGATTGCTGACATGTGGAAAATGTAGAGAATCATATCTGAAATAATTGATTCACTTTCTAATGCTCCAAAACTTATCTCATCTTCATTGTGTAGATGATACCTAAATGTTACCCAACATCCTTTATCTTTAGATTATTTATTTATTTATTTGTAATTCTTCTTTGTGTAACATTTTGAGTAATTGGATATTAATATTCTTCATTATTCTACTGCATAATAATGTAGATTGCTTGCTTTTTTTGGTTAAATGTATTTACTAATGTGGTAGCTGCCTATAACCATGCAGCAGGGGCAAAACTTTATATTTTATATTTAGTCACTCAAGTTGTCTAACAGAAAATATAAAATAACATATCATCTTCCAACTAGTTCTAAAAACGATATGGAGAATTGTTTAATATGTCAAAATAAAAAAAAAAAATTTATGTGAAATTTTTTTTTTTTTTTTTTTGTTGATGTTGCTGTTGATATATATATTTTTGGTTCAGGTAAGTACTCACACACGCTTTTGCCCACATCGTGGCTCGAACCCCTCCTCTCTGAGGGTGGGTAGGTTATATACCATTGGGCTAAAAGCCCTTTTCGATTACTATGTGTGAAATGTTAAGATTGTCCATGTAGTCTGGTCCATGAATTTGTCATAATCATGTTCCGTTTATTTAGTTTTGAATCCCTTTTGAATATTCCCCTGCTGGTTAAAAATGTAATGGAATTCCTTATGGTGGCTATATTATGCTATGAACCATGATTGCTTTCATTGTGTGGATTGCTTGAATAAATGGGCTATGAGGCAGTCTTTCGTGAAAATTTCGACACATAATTATTTAGATCTTCTAAATTTTTATTCCCTTGAGGATTATGCTCTTAATATTATGATTCTTGATGTAGGCATGCAGGAATCAAAGTGCAGGGAGAGACTAAAGCTCTTTCATTGGCAGAAGTTACGGAAATGGAACTTACTTCAAATTGATGGTCTTCTGATAATGAATAGAAGAAGCATTGGTGTCATACGCGGTGATGCAAAAATGTCTGCTAAATTTAATGGACTAGTAATATTTTGCTTACTATGTTCTGGTGGTTTTGGGTATTTTTTTTTGAAAGGTCGGGTACATTTTTGTTGTAATGGGAAAACCTATCAGAATGCTTGGGCACAACAATATCACTTTTTGTAAGGACAATTTATATAGAAACCCTAAGAGTGGTATTAGCACTCTTCCATTCACTTTAAAAGAGTGCTCAAAGCAATTCCTACAATTCCTGCAATTCCTGCAATTCCATACACTTGGGCTTAACACTATTGTAGTGGGCTAGGAATGAGGATCATCTTTGGGCCCAATTCTTCCTTGAAGTATCCGAATTTCAGACCCTAGAGTCAAGAGAAGAAATCAAAGCAATTATCAAACCAAGGCAAGAGTCCATAGCCTCTCTCATGCTTGAGAGACACTGTGCCATAGCAAAGATAAGGAGTAAATTGCAACGATGACAATTGCAATTTCTCAACTCATCGACGAGCCCTTTTTAATTCTTTGCAAATAGAGAGTTCATCTTCTGTTACCGAATTAGAACTAATGAAAATACGGTTAATCCATGATTCATTTAGGTCCGCATATGAATACCCATCATATATGTGAACCAACCTGTATAATTATAGTACACCCCAATCTATCTCATTAATTGATTTGTATCCATCATTCACCTTATATACGTAAAAAAAAAAAAAAAAAAAAAAAAAAAAAAAATTTAACCATTGTCAAATACATTCCACACAATTACTATATAGCACATACAAAATCCCAACAGCGTGTCTATTGAATGTGTTTTCTGGACACTGCTACGTTTCTAGATGTCTTAGAATAACAAAGGGGAGTTTGTTCCACATTGAATTCGAATGAAAAAGTAAATGGGTATATATGAATTGAGTATTAGTCCCAACTAATAACTTAAATTTTTGGATTAAATCGCGTAACACTTGGTCACAAAAAGAAATGAAAACTCATCCTAATGAAAATAAATAGTCCCTTCAGTTGCCTAATTGATTTATATTTTACAGGATTATCACAACTTGCTTCTTGTCTGGATTTAGAGCTACTGTTTTATCACGTGATTCTTTGGTATATTTAGATTAATAATAATAAAAAAAAATGGCCCCTCTAATTGCCTATTAAAGTTGTTAGTATGAGCTTTTAATTTTGAATGTTTCAACTTTTGACAATTCGCCTTAGGTGGACAACGACAAATTTTGATCCTGTTACAAAACAATTTTTCGGGACAAGGACGCATATTTTTCTTGCATTCGGTTATCCCAATGTTCACCCTACGTCCAGTGCCTAATCTCTCTATGGCGAAAAAAAACTCTTAATTGAAAGGGTTGCAGTGATGATTTGTATCACTAACTTATTAAATAAAAATAAAAATAAAAATATTTTTATTTATATCACATAATATAATTAATTGATGACACAAATATCAAAGTTTTAAAAATTTAAAGAAAGGAAAGCAAGAAATCTATTTAACCCGAGTTCACATAAATCTGGCTGAGGCCCATATGCGGAGTTACAACATTAAGTCAATTTTGGGTCATGTAATAGCTCAGTTTATTATAGAGGACATTTAAGATATTCTGCCTTTTATTTTTTATTTAAAAAAAAAAATAGTTATAGGGGGTAGTTTTGTAAATACATAATGATATTGGGTGAAAAATGATTGGAGGTGAAATGCAAATTATGCAAGGAGGTAAGTTGTTCACTTTTGAAACTACATGACTAACTTGCTCGCTTTTATACCACAGGGATATTGCAAGTTATTCACTTTTGAAACTATAGGACTAACTTGCTAGCTTTTATACCATTTATTGTGTTTTGCACTTTTGCCTTATTTATTTATATATAAGAATTAATTTCTTCCTCAAAAATGAACAATTAATTTTATTCACATCTTTTACAGTGATCTTTAGATTAAACAGCCGTATTTCAAACCCACTTATTTTCTTTCCAAATACAACAAAACCACTATCTTTATTCTAAATTTGTACAATTAATAGTACTGATTAAAGTTTAAAAAAGCAATTACCAAAAATGCATTAGAATATTTTAAAAACCTTATATGTGTCAAACCTCAATGCAGCCAAAAATTCATTTCCAAGTAATATATTTCGATTATGGAAGGAGATATATAGTAAAGGGTGTTGGTGGTTTTGCTGCATTTAAAGTGGACTAAAAGCCCGAACACTATCGTGGAGGGTTTGACTACAGTTTTTGTCAGGAATTATTTTAGGAATATTCAACATCCATCCGAACTGTTATTTTAGGAATTTATAAACATTAATTAAGGGTGAGGGACAAATCAATTATTGAGTTTTTGTGTGTAGAGGAAAATATAAACAAAAGACTACCACACAAGTTTAGTGGGGCCAAACATAAACAAAAACGACCATAAGTCAAGTAATGAGTTCTTAGCGTATTTAATTATTTGAATGGGTGGTATTCCAAACAGGCCTTAAGTATTCAAGTACTAATTTCTTTCGCTTCGTGCTTTCATAATGCACAATAACTCATCTAATTGATGTGTAAAGAGAAAACAATACTTGAAGTTATGTCAACTCATTAAAAATAGTTTCGGAAGAAAAAATATGGTGACAAAGTGTGTTTCTTTTTCTTTTTTCCTTGGGATATTAAATAGATTGTTACATTTGAAATTTTTTTTCATATATATTCTTTTTTATTTTCTCCTTGATTTTTTATTGTATTAATTTGCATTATTTGTCAAATTTCAATAATTTACCAAATGATATTATTATATACGGGGGCTTGTGATTAGTGTATAGAGTTCTAGTTGTCAATAATGTGCCTCATGAAGTATTCATAAGATATACTTTATTTCTTAAGGTAATTTAATTAAATTAGGTGTATTAAAAAAATTAAACTGCATAAAAGTGAATTATTTCATTAACAAAGAAAAGAGCAAAAAGAAAAAGAAAAAGAGAATTAATTTTATCAAGAACAACAACTCTTATGACTGCGCCTTTAATTCTGTGATGTGATCTGTATTCTTTATTAAACTCTTCTCAACTTCTACATCAATAGGTGTTGAGCTCTTTTGCATCATGCATCAACTAGTTAAAAAACAAAAGAAAATTTTTACTTAGCGTAGCTTAGGGGTGCCAAACGGGCAGGGTGGGTCGGGTTTGGATAGGATTAAATGTGGGCGGGTTGAATATGAGTCGTGATTCATATTCAACCTACTTGTAACGGGTTAAATATGAATTGGGTAAAAATAGGTCTGGTCAACACGTCATAACTCGCCAATCCGTTTTAGAGAGAAAAAAAAAATTTATTATTTTGGATAGTCTTATTATTATAGTTTTTTTTTTTTTAGATGGATAAAAGCTTGTAAAAATATGTATAGATAATTGTAAATCTTTTAATTTATTTTAGAAATTCTTTAAATTTATATTATTTTATTTTGTAACTAGACATGCATAAAGGTAAGATATTATATATATATATATATATATATATATATATATATATATATATATATTATGAAATCATCTGTTAAGTTTTTTATAGAATAAATAATTAAATGAATAAATCAGGTTGTTCTACTTTGACATACAGATGTAAACATAGGTTTCTTTCGAGCCGTAGTATTACATACACGAGAAGTTTAGGATACGAGAGAATCTTAGGGAAAGAATTTTAGAGCGAGATAGTAGGAGAGAAAAAATTTGGTATCGTGTGAGAGAATTTTAGAAAGGAAGAGGTGAATTTGAATCAAATAGAGGTTGTGAAACTGGGTCTTTTATATAATGGATGAAATATGGGTCAAAATGGATGACCCATATTCAATCCATTTAACCTTCTATAAAAATGGGTTGAATATGGGTCACTCATTTTGGCCTATATTTTTAAATGATTCACCCATATCTATTTTAAAGTAGACGGATATGGACGGGTTGGTAGGTCATGACCCATTTTGTCACCCCTACTGTCATTGATAGCAATCCATCGGGTTCTTCATATCAAAGTGGAGATGAAACTATATTATCTTATAAAACTATCAACTCAATGCATTTCGGGAAGAACCAGTTAACTCTGGTTCGAGTGGCATTTCACCTTAACCACAACTTGGTTGATTCTTCAACATCAATCGGTTCGTTTCTTTTATCAATGTGTCAATTCATTAGAAAAAACTGTAGTCATGTAAATAAAAATAACATATAGTTGGTTCTTGAATATAATAGAAAAGGACTAAATTAAGTTGCAAACTCTTAAGGAGAAGTTGTTTTCTGGTAAGTGAGAGTAAGTCCACTGAGAAGCATCTAAATGGGGGGTGCATCCCATGTATACACTACAGAAGAAGAATATATATTTCTATCAAATTGCAACAAAAGAAGGAAAAAAATAGGATTCAAATTTTGTAAGAAATGGTTCAATTTCTTTTAAGTTTGCAATATATTTATAGTTCACGTTGAGAACTGTGCATATTGTATTTTTTACATGTATTATATATCGCATAGTATTTTTTGCATGGTCAAAATGTTATAGTATTTTTTTTGGAGATACTTCGGAAGTTCAATAATGGGTTCATTAAGATGGTCACTAAAGTTGTCTAACAGAAAATATAAAATAACAACTTATTATCTTCCAACTAATACTAAAAAAGTTATGGAGAATTATGTGATATGTCAAAATATTTTTTAATAGAAAGTACCTTGTGAAATGTTTCTTTTTTTCTTTTGTGTGCGCGTGAATGTTTTCAGGTAAGTGACTCAACAAACTTTTGTCCATTTGTTATACTATTGGGTTAGAAACCCTTTTTGGTTACCATGTGTGAAATGTTGCCCCAAGAGAATGTCAAGATTGCTCATGTATAGTCTGATCCATGAATTTGTCATAATCATGTTCCGTTTTTTTAGTTTTGAATCCCTACAAGTTAAAAATTTAACGGTAATCTTTGCGGTAGCTATATTATGCTATGAACCATATATGTTGCTTTGATTACGTGGATTGCTTGAATAAATGGGCTATGGGGTAGTCTTTTGTGAAAATTTTGACTACATAATCATTTAGAAGATCTAAATTTTTATTCG